GGACAGCACTTGATACAGCAAGCGTGCTGTGACGGTTCCACCTGAAGACGCAAGCTTGTGTTGCCTCCGAAACGTCGTGATTGTTATTTTATTTTTTATTTTATTTTTATTTTATTTTACTTTTATTCATTTTTATTTTTACTTTTTACCGAAGTGACTTTACCGAAAAAACCTAAGAATATAGTCGTGGACAGTACTTTGAAAGCCGTGGACTCAGAAGAAGTGTTGTCTTAAGTGAGACGTGGCGATGCAGATTTACTTATCCATTTCATCTTCATATTTGCGCTAATGGTGTAACATTACATTGTAATTCCATTCCTTAGGAGCGAAGTGCAATGCTGATAAGGCGTTCTGCCATTTGAAATATGTCAAAACCTGAAACGTTAACGTATTTATTATTAAATTAAGCGGGTTACTTATTGCGTGGCATCACATATGCAAACAAAACAACACGGGATAATATTTATCCAACAGCGTTATCGGTCAATGGCCACTGGCCACTGCAGTGTGACCGCACTCCGCTTCATAATTGAAACTGTGGCCGGCACTGTTCCTCGACAATTATTAAATTCTATCTCCAGGGCCATAACGACCATTGCCTTGCGATCCCTGCGCGGTGAATGCCAAACATTCAGCACCATCAGCGCTCGTGTCAACGGCCGTAAGAATCCAAGGTTCCCAAGTGATTTTCTCAAAACTAAAATTTGCGGGAAGCGAAAAGTAAACTTTAATTTATTTACTTTTCACGTGTGTGCTCTATCTGAGTATAGGTGTTTGACGTGGCCTTGAGAAAGAAAATTGCTAAGCTCGGAGCACACGCTGCGTTTCGACTCCGAGCAGGGGACGCAGCCAAACTGTGGAAGTTGGGAGCATTCGGTGGTTCTTGGTTACATTTCAGATAGGGCCCACGAAGTTCGCTTCCCCCCTCCCCCCCACAAGACAAAGACAAAGATCCCCCGTATAGCCTTAACAGACTGTGGGGGCAAGTGCTGTTAGCGAACACCTCTGAAGGCCGGAATGGGTGGCCAGCACCACGCCCGACCGCCTTTGTCTCCCCAGTGGCGATGTTTACTCACCGCACCAGGTACTCATTTCAGGCTGAGTCGACCTAGGGGAGGCCCAGGACCGGTTCAGATAATCGTCACCGGTGTTGGCCGTGAGCGGGAATCGAACCCGGATCGCCAGGTTCATAGCGCAGCGCGCTAACCGCTACACCACCGCTCCCCACCCACACTTCGTAACAGACATGAAGAGTTCAGCTGCACTCTGACAACCGTATTCTCTGGATTATACAACGCGCCGCAAAGGGACACGTATCCCACAACGATGAGCACGGTTGGCTACATTACAGCAAGAAGTTCAACGTACGTACATACAATACAGTTGAACGAATGTGGTCGCAAACGCACACCGAATACTGGATACTAAGACACACCCACAGCGTTTGCATTAGAGATCAGGGTGTAAAATCCCAAAGAAAGTCAAATATATTAAAACTTAACAAGCGCTGGCGGCTGACTTGGCATTGACGTGCGAGTTCTACTGTTTGTGACCGACTGTGTTCCGTTACAGGGCGCTTCATCGGCATTGGTGTCACACTGTTAAAAGGGGGAGATAAAAAAATTGACTTGAAAAAACCCACAATTATTTACGTACAAATATTTTGTCCGGACGCCCATGACACCCGCAGTAGCTGCATCCCTGACTCTGAGAGCACGTCCTGGCCACCAGGAGTGTCGGGACACAAAGCGTCAAGTGGCCCACGGGACCAAATAACAAAAAAGGAAACGAAAAAAGAAATCTCTTGCGCTGCCAGTTGCACTCGAGTATGAAACGATGGCAGCTGCGTCAAGTGGGGTGCCGTGAGCTGTGTACGAGCACCCCCACGTCTTTTATCTCGTGAGTCCAAATAGAAGCCTTGTTTGCATTTCCCAGACAACCTTGGCTCCAAATATGTTCAGGCAACTTCTTGGTTCTTTCGGTAAAGTCACGTAGAATGGAAATAATAATTTTAAAAAACCAAGAAGAAGATAAATCCCTGCAGTCACGAAAGCTTTAAATCGAAAAATGTTCAGACAAGTTTGTTTTCAGATACATTGCGAAAGATTATTCTATTAGACCGATTAACGATTCAATTCGCCGCTGTGCGAAGGTTTCCCCGTGCCTGTCATTGGGGTTGTTCGGCCATTCTTCACCACGCTGGTCAATGCGGTTTGTTGCAGGGGATGTCCAGGACGAAGTCAAATGTCACCCGCCGCTGATGTTAACCGTGGCTAGGTATCAAACTTACATTGCAAAGTGTACAATGACACCGCTCAAATCCCTTTTCGGATATCTCTGTTTTCACGTAGATTACTGCATGTTAAAAAAAAATCACACAATGAATGCAATCACAAACCGTTCGCCTACATTCCCACAATGCATAAAAAAAACTAATTATGACTTGAGCCTTGAAAAGTAACTTTAAAAAACTATTAAATATTTGCATCTTGTTTTCATGATACATCTGTTGGCGTTATAAGGTTTCGACTCCTTCCTCTTAATAATAATTAAGGTCGTTTGTTTCATTATTTTCTGCCAGACTTAATTCAAGTATATTTTTTTCCCTTTTGCCTCCTAAAAGGACGGTATCCGTGACCACTCTCATTGGGGCCCTATTAGCAGGCACAAGGTGGCTTTGCGGCAGGACAGGTAATCTTCTTTAAATGAGGCCATTTGAGAGCTGAAAGCATGCCTTCAGGAAGAGAACAGTGGCAGTGAAACATGAAAGTCACGCAGGGGATAAAAAAAATTCCCTGACGGAATCCGCTGCGAAAGACGTGGGCAAGGCATATAGATTTCAGGATTTGCATACAAAATGCACACTTCCCTTGCATGCCTGGCTGAACAAAAGTCTTTTCAATGTGGGATCAAGTGGGTCAGGAATAACATTTACATCATTTCAAAACGAGATGCTGCCGTACAGTAACGGTTGTCGCTTTCGACTTGCAACCCACGAATCGCCGGTTCGATGCGATCTCTCGGTGTGGCAGTTGAGAAAATTGGCTACTGGCACGTTTATTAAATCCCCCCCCCCTCCTCTTCTTCAGATTGGGGCGAGAGGGGTGGGAGGGCCCAAGCGGGCCCCATTTATTTCCTTGCAACAGGGACGTGTGTTCTGAGCACACCAAAAACGAGTCTAAAGACTTGTGAGAAAAAAATATTAGCCTACTTTACCTGAAAAAGCCCCACTGAGTCTCAAGACTATTTAAGAAGGGCCCTGCTACATTGGGATGTTTGGCCAATGCCAGTCATGATTATTTGGATTGTGAGAAGAAACCGGGAGAGCCCGGAGAAAACCCACCATGCGCATGAGAGGGTGACGCTCGGCACGGCCATCTCCTGGTCACGCTACGGCCCCGCGCATCTACAACACCTGGTGGGCCAAGCCTTCGTGGTCAGCCATCCAATTACTGACCAGGCTCAGTCCGGCTTAGCTTCCGAGATAACCCGACAAAATCGAGCACGTTCAGGGCGATCAGGTCAAAGAGAAAAGCCGATATCGCTCACGGTAACAAGACACGAGATTTTCAATTCGCGTGAAACATCCCTTGGCCTGGGTGCACAGCGGGGGGAGGGGGGGGGGTCACGGCTTTTCCGTTTCGCCGAACAGTTTTCAGATTTGACGCTGGAGGTCACGAGGCCTCGCTAAAAAAAATTGCGCCATGACGGTTACGGGCGGTGCAATCAAATCCCAGGCAAAATAAATATTAATTGACGGCACGTAAGGCCGTGTGCCTTGATTATCGATGATCAGCTTCCGTTTGCGAAGCCATGGTGACCCCTGGCAAGAGGACGAGGCTTGAAAAGAGAGAGGCGGACAGTGAACAGGACGAAGAGGTGAGCTGGCAAGTGTGCCGTCTATCTGCAGCGGACAGCTGAGAAATATGCTATTTTAAGACTGTATAACTCTGTGATTAAAGTGCTGCCGTTGCAGTGGTCATAGGTGTGGACTACTAATCATAGAATGTACCATGTTGTTTACACGGGTGCGTGCGTGCGTGTTATCCTGTTGTTTTGCCGCATCGAGTCAAAGTGACCGCGGGACAACATGATGCCCGGTGGTTTACACGCATTCTCGTGTATTTGAGATTTAATTTGCCGCGTGAAATCGAAGTAACCACAATACTCCATAGGTTTTTCAAATCAAATGCCTCCCGGTACCACGTGTTATTGAGTGCGAATCTGTCGCTGTCCGCGATGACTCCAGGATAAGAGAGCTCACACCGTGGGTTTCATCTGCGAGCTCCCAGCCCCGAGCTCCCTGCTCAGCCGGAGACCCGCAGCGGACGTCACCGACTCCCGAATGCAGAGCAACAATCGCCCCCAATTTTAACAGGCGGTGGGCCCCAAAGTGACTTTAAATAACAAGCAGAAGTAACAGCGTACCCACAACAGCATTCACGAGCACATCTTGGACATGGCCGAAATGTACTTGCTTTATGCAGTGAGAAGGACTACTGCTTGTTTATTTGTATTTATATTAAAATATTTGTTACTCACAGTATCCCACAACAGCACTTCCCCCTCCCCCCCAGGATTATTGGTTCGGTGGGTGGGTGGGTGTGTCGGTGGGTGGGTGGGTGTGTGGGTGGGTGGGTGGGTGTGTGGGTGTGTGGGTGGGTGGGTGGATGTGTGGGTGCGTGTGTGTGGGTGGGTGTGTGGGTGGGTGTGTGGGTGTGTGTGTGTGTGGTGGAGAAACAGGAGTAGTCGGTTCACAGTACCCCATCCATCCTGGCCCTTGGAAAGAACAGGCAAGTCGGCCAAATAGAACGGGGAAGTATCAGCGCAGGTAGTGGCGCCGTACCCACAACAGTGGTTACGTGGGGCAGGGACAAGACACGTCGCAGGGAGAAGCGACGGTCGGCGGTCGAGATCAGCGACGGCGTGGCAGCCAAGGGAGGGGACGCACCGACGAGGGGGGGGTAGGGGGTGTCGCTCGCTACTCGGAGCTCTCCCACCTTTGCAGGTGAAGCAGGAGACGTGGAAGTGGCGATTCTCCACGCGGAGGACCTCCCCGCGGCACAGGTCGCGGCACTTGTAGCAGTGGATCGCAGGCTTGTCCCCCAGCACGCTCTGACGCTCGTCCTGACTCTCGGCCACTGCTCATTCCATGGGGGGGGGGGGGGGGTGCGATTGTTTTGGAGGGGCAAATGGGGAGCGGGGGGTGAGTAGGAAGGGTGCAGAAGGTGAGACGGTGAAATGCAAACATTGCACATGAGACGATTGAAATGCGGTTAAATTGCATCCGATTTGGTTGTGAGACGTGTTGTTCAATTTAACGGAAAGCTTAAACAGTGACGAATTGGCGCGTTAAACGCTGGTGCACTTGGCAATGTCGTACTGTGTTTCGCTATGTCAGGTGGCGGAGGGAGTCACGACACGAATCCGGCCAGATAATCACTTGGCCTAACCCAAAACTCAATTTTGAATCGCAAACAAGGTTCTTGACGAATATCGGCTCCGTGCCCGACTGTTCGCTCCCCGTGCCAGGGAGCTTCTTCAGGAGCCTTGAAGAACTTTGAGCAGCTCCCAAGCAAGTGGGAGCGAAACGTCGGACACGGCACCGATCAACACACGGTACGAGCAGAAAGCACTTTGGAGAGCTACAGGGCACAACTGCAAACACCGCCGGCATCGAGAGCCATCAATTTCTACCCCATGCAAGGCGACGTGGCATGCGTACCCTAACATACGCCGATTTGCTCATCACGATCTTGTTCCTTTCTTTCTCACTAGCCCACAGTGTATTTGCGCTAAATCTGAAATATTCAATCGAAAATAATGTTACGGTCATGATTATTGGGTCCATGTTTGTGGGGAATATTATCCATTTTCTATACTTTTTAGGCATAAGCAATTGAAAAATAATACTTAGTACCCAGGAACAAATGTAAATCAACTACTTTTTTTTCATGGTCGATCGGTTGGACTCGGATACAATTGGCGACCGCCTCGACATCCTGGCATCCCGAAGGTGGGAAACCTCCTGTGCCGTCGCCCCAACCATGGCCTGACTGGTGATGTTGACGACGTCATCAAGCCTTGCCCCCTCACCTCCTGTCCAGCGGCACACGTGGAAACGGAGGTGAGACTTTTTTTGGGTTTGTTTGCCAAACTCTTTGTCGCATTGTCCAATTAGCCGATCATCGGCAGGGGAATCGATTGCTAAACATAATTAGAAAGCCCAGCTCTGGAATAATGCCATCTCAACCCCACCCACCCATCGTTGGGTACGTTCCTTGCACCCTGACCTCGCTGTGCCAGGGGGCATGGCCTGGGCAGGCAACGCTGACATTCACCCATCACGATCACGACCCTGCTCCCGCTCAATGTATGCCCTCCAATTACCGCCAGAACTTTTAAAACTGGAGCATGTAAATGTCGTAACTTCTCACGACCTCGGCTACGTTCGACTGCAAGCTAATTATAATTTTGTCGTGAGCTTATTACAGCCTCTTTAAGTCTCGTAAGGCCCTCCAAGAGACAACACTGATTAAGCATATTGTCCCTTGGCTATGCACAAGAGTGGGCCCAGGGAAAACGTACTAACGAGATGCTAATTCAATTCCATCATCATTATCATCATCAGCCGTGATCTCTCCACTGCTGGATGAAGGCCTCTCCTTGCCATTGGCATCACACACAGTCCCGTGATGCCACAACATCCATTTCACTCCCGCATGTGAAGCTGGAGTCTCTGCTATGAAAGTCATCGCCCAAAACATTACCCTGTTATATATTTGTACATTTAAGGCAACGTTATTGACAATTTGTTGAATGGTTTGTTATTGTGGTGGTCATCCTCGTAGGCTTAATTCTCCCCTTTTTCTGCCATTCCATCACAAATCTCGTCCATCATCAGTCATCGATCCTTACTTCCCAAACATGTGTGTGAACATTGCTAACTGAACAACATTAACTTATTTTGCAAGGTCGATAGGCTGATAAAATAACAAAATATTGTCATGGATGCCTAATGACGGGCAGCAAATACCTTGCAACCTCCCGTGGAATGAATGAATGAATGATCAAGCATGTACCCCAAAACAGTCATGATGCGTGTTGACCTGCTTTGTCTTTACAGCAAACGCAAGCAAACGTCGGCCCCTGTCCACAGACAACCACGATCCTTCCCATTCCACACCACAAGTGCGACGTGACTGTTGATGAAAATTGACAAAGGGGCCGTCCATAAATGACGTCACGCGATTTTGGACGATTTTTGACCCCCCCTCCCCCCTTCGTCACACGGCGTCACAAAAAGTCAGACCCCCCCTCTGAAATATGACGTCACAAAGCTCTGCCCCCCCCCCCCCCCAAAAATAAAACATGCTTCAAATCGCTTTAAACTATTGTCATTGTAGTGCGTATTTAAGGTGGCGCTGCACTCTGATGTTGTAGGAGAAAACATTTATTAAAATGTCTATTTAATTAGGTAGAACGTGTTGTCTATATTTATTTAAAGTTGCGCATTTTGATGTGACGTCACATTTCTCAACCCCCCCCCCCCCTCGTTACACATCGTCACAAATGTCTGACCCCCCCAGGTGACGTCACTTATGGACGGCCCCAAAGCTGTCCGCGTAAGCGTTTGTACATTAAAAAAAGACCGCATATACGAAACCGACAAAAAAAATGTAAGTGAGAATTAGCATCGCCATACGGGGAAAGGGACTAATAGCTTCCAAGTTCACTGGATGTTATTCCAAGTGCAATGCGTGCGAAACGAATTTCATTATCGCCGTCACACCTACGAGGCATCGTGGCAAAAAAAAAGACCCGACAGCCCAGTCACCACCAACGTCTGCCCTACGTTCCCCTACAACAGCCCGCGACGGATTCCCGCTGGGCATTGCTGACGTCACAACCTGCTGTACCCCCAGCAGTTGGCTTCAACACTAAACCTGTCTCATTTGAATTATAATTACGATTTTTTTTCTAAATCATAAATAGCCGTTGAATAGCGTACACCGATCCTTTATAGTAAGAGGCCGTATTTCGATTTAAAGCTGTTGTGACTGCAGGGATTCATCTTCTTGGTTCTTTCGGTAAAGTCACGTAGAAGGGAAATAATAAAATAATAAAAATAAAACATAATAAAATAATTCTCAAGACGTTTCGGCCACAACGCAAGCAGCCGTCCTCAGGTGAAGAACAGGTCTGTCGGGAGGACGGCTGCTTGCGTTGTGGCCGAAACGTCGTGAGAATTATTTTATTATGTTTTATTTTTATTATTTTATTATTTCCCTTCTACGTGACTTTACCGAAAGAACCAAGAAGAAGAGGCCGTATGCTCGCGTAAGGCCAGTTTCCTGCTTTGTGTTTCTTGACAGCACCAGGTCCACTCGTAAAACAACGTTTTGCAAAAACTCTGCGCGATGACCCCACATTGCTATCGATGGTAGGGTCGGTCTCTTTTAGAGACGTCGCAATGTTTAGCCGAGCGTGTTCCCTAGTTACGATATGAACCAGTAGAAATACATCTGAAAATGTACAGTTGAGATCTCAGATGCTGCCATGGGCGTGATCGTTTGCACGCTGAGCTTGCAATACAGATGTCGCCTGTCCACATGTTACCTGTTCACATGTTACCTATTCACATGTTACCTGTTCATTCTCTCGGTGGGGCGTGGCAGTCGAAGCAATGGGCAAGTAATTTTGTTTCTTGCTGTGCTTGTCCCACCTGATGACGGAAGCTTGTTTTGCTTCCGAAACGTCGTGATTTAATTTAGTTATTTCTTTTTTTTTCACCTACGTGACTTTACCGAAAGAACCAAAGAGTATGTGGATCCTTGCAGTCACGAAAACTTCAAATCTAGAATGGGCTAGTTTCTTCATTCCCTCCCCACATATCCTACCCCATATCCCCCATGCCTCTGTCTACCCAACAGCGATGTATGAATGTGTGCTGCGCTATTAGTCGATCGGCAGGCCACGTGCGTTTGGGTAGATTGTGGGTACTTCAACCTCCTCCAAACGAAGGTTTTCCTGCCATTTGCATTCCAACTGCGCGCACCACCCCACCTGTGCATCAGACTTCGCCGGACAACAGCCTGTGGAAGGTGACATCCCAGAACTACAACTGAGATTTCCTTCAATTGCCTCTTATCCACACCGAGATAAGAGGCAATTGAACATCGTATGGGAATCAAATCGATCATTTGCGTTTCAGAATCTGGAATTGGGATATTAATAATTTTCGTTAAATAAATATATATGATGGGTTTTGTATGCAGTCATTTGTGACCAGGATGAGAATATCAAGTCACTAGGGTTCAGAACTCAGTTTGTTTCTGGGTGGGAGAAACCCAGATTCAACTCCTGACACAAAACCAATCCATCGAACCACATGGACCCATCCCCCGCTTTGTCTACATTTTCAAAATTATTTTAGAGCAGCGCATTTCTACATGCTGAGAACAGCTTGTGGAAGGCGATATCACAGGACTCTACTTTTGAGATTCTGTCCGGTTAAATGCTTTAATCCACACGAGAAGGGGGAGGAGGGGGGCAGGAAACACTTTCCCATTGTCGCACGATGACGAACATTTAACGTGATAATTGTTTGAGCAGTCGTTGATGAATTGGTTCAATACAATCAACTCGGCCACACTTGAGAACCCAGTTCAATCACGGGCAGCGGGAAGCCAAAATCAAATCTGGAATCTCACCGTTACCAGCTCAGTGCTCCAACCCCCGAGATCGGCCAGCCACCTCAAGTTTGTGTAACTTTTCAAGGAAATTCAACCCTCGGGAAAATGCCTCCACTGCCTCGGCCTCTGTATATTGAGCGATAGAATTGGCGCACGCAGCGGTTGTGTGACTGGATGGCTTGCGGTGGGTCAGAATTAAGGTTAACCCAACCCTTTATAAACCCATATGGCTGCAAGGAGAAATACGACAAACTCTGTTCCAAGAGAGGGGCACACCGCAGTGGTGAGATGTTAACTCCCTCACCTGGTATGGAGGAGTTCGTGGGTCCGATTCCCACCCTGACGCCTGCTGTATATTTGTAATATCCATGCTCTCCCCGTGGTTACGTAGATTTTTTTCCAGGCCCTCTGGGTTTTCCCTCCACGTTTAGGATCAACGTGCGTTT